TAGCCATTAGATTGTTAATTGATTGTTAATTTTATAGAGGCCTAAGAATTAATTTACTGACCATACACAATACATAGTAAAAGCTAAAGATTTTACTTGAAATAAAAATAACGATGCATCAGTTTATATATAACTTAACTTTTCCAAGTCTCAATATGTTATTTGCTGAAATTCATATACGATTTTTTTTGTAGTTTTTCGCAGTGCTATTCTTTAATAAAATCAGCGTTGACTCTAAGTCGAGCACAGCCCTGTCACAGTATAGAGGTTCAATAAAAAAAAAAAAAAACCTTTACGGCGTTGTTGCACGACCTCGAGTTCGAGTTTATTACCGAATATAATTGTTATGATTTTATACAGATATGATCATGCTACAATTTTCAAAATAAAAATGTCTTCTAGAATATATATAATACAATAACATATACATAAAAGTTGTTTCAAATAACGTCATTTCCTTAGAGAGTAAAATTTAAACGTCTATTAGAAATTCAACAATGCAAAGTATATATTAGAAAAAAAACATAATAAAAAGAAATATAACTAACTAAATATACCATTAGCTACAAAGCCCATAGAATTAGTCTAAAACAGCCCCTGGAGCATGCAAATGATGAAATCGGTGTGAAATATATTTTTGAATATAAATAAACATATGTATTTATAAAAAGCAATAATAAACATAATATATTATACTACTCGTACGAATTAGAACTTCAATTTTATTTAAATTTATTAAAGTTTTTAGTAATTATTTTAAATATTGCAATGCGCAGACCCTACCTCCTTTGCATATTACTTACTGTATATATATATGATTTCTTCTCACAATTTACTGTACAATTTCGATTTTTATGTTAGATTTGTTTTATAAATTTCTGTAGTGTGCTGTAAAATAAATTGTATATAAATAAATAACATGCACTCTAAACTCTCCGTTCTACACCACATATGGGAGCTCAGTAGCGATAGCATAACAGTAACATGTATTTATTAAAAAAAAAAAATCAGGAAATTAAATCTTAAAATAAAGTCAGGATAAAAATTGCGAGGCTGATAATTATTGTTAATTAGTACTATGACAACTACCCAAATACGATTCGGACTCTTTGACTGTTTGCTACGTTTCGTTTCATCTACTACGGAAATATATTCTTATAAACTTATAAAGTGCACATTCACAATTACATTTTTGATTTATTTCCATATTTACGAGTCGAACTATAAAAACCTTTGACATTGATGCATTAATTTTTAAAGTAGTTTCACAACTATTTTGAGTTTTGCCAGCTAACCTCAAAATATTATTTACAAATAACGAATATCTCTGGCTTCCAAATTAAAAGATGTTAAGATTTATTCTATTTTAAGCAAAAAATTATTTAAATTATAACTCATGGTGAGTGGACGCAACCTTGAAAAAAAAAAAACATGTGACAGGTCAATCAATATATGGAAAGTGGACATGATTCTTTAGAGTTATTATCTTGCTGGTAGTTGTTATTTTCATCGGGTTTAAGTTTGAAATTACACCTTCTTGCACTTTGCAATTTGCACAAACGTAATTCTAGCCAATATTAATTCGTACAAGTATTACATGGTAAGTTTGCAATAAGTGTACAAACATATTTAAGAAAGACTTTTTTATTATACATTTTGCTGTATTAAGTCGGTGTGTATATCTACAACAAGCTAGATTATCATAAACGGTCATATTTTTCCAATTGATTTTAAACCTTAATATTGACATTTAGTTTCAAGATTGATCGTCGAAATTTAACATGAAATAACATATGCTTTACTTCTGTGTATACATTTCAGTTCGAAATAACATGTCATGTAATTGAAAATAAAATATATATGAAAACATATTTAATAAAAATACCATATACAAATAATTTAAGATAATACCTAATACTGAATCTAGTAAAATATATGATAAAAATAATTAATAGAGCACATTGCTGCACACCGTGTATTATTAAATAATTATATAACATAGATCTTTAACTACCCACCAAAATAAGCCATCCAAAGTTACAGATGCGTGCAAATTAAAGAATAATAAGACAAGCAAATATATAATACTATAATAAATTTTAGTGAAAAAAGATAATAAAATTTTATGAAATAATTTCTATCACAATGAAAAGCAACAACTCAACTATAATAAAAACTTAATCGGGCCGTAAGACCCTAAATAGAATATATTTGCTTCTACATAAAATGTGTCACCACGTTACAATTCTGAATAAAGGTACCTCCAAAATTTTATTTAAATACAATATAACCTATATTATTATACTTTTATTTGTTATATTATTTTAATAAATTGTAAAGATTAGGTCGTATTTCTCCAATATATTTGTTAATATATCAAACTTTTTAAAGCGTAATAATAATAATAAGAAGACACATAGGTACATAAACATTTCATATAAATAGCTAAGTTAACAGAGCCTTTTTAAGGTATATTGGTCAAAGCCGATATTATCACAGACTCTTCCAGAATGTATGTAATAGACGTAATAAAAGAAAATGATAAAAATATTACTAGCCCAAATAAGTTGTTTTATCTCATGCATAAAAGTGAAGACAATTAAATAACAAATTAACCCACAAAAAAAATTAATGGATGACATACCTAGTCCTTTAACTGTTCGCCGTGAACGAATGATAGAACAAAAAATTTGATTAGAGTGGTGAAAAGCATATAAATAAATTCATCGATATCGTAGAATTGATAGCAAATAATTATTAAAATAATTAGAAGCGTATTCACTGAATAGCTTTAGAAATATTATCTGATGTAATGAAATAAGTATATATTATGAAAACAGCATTAATAACATTCTCATTATATTTTACTGTGTCTTTCTTAAAACTGTGTCCATATTTTTGTGTGTTATTTATAATTACAAGGGTCAAACTGAAAGTTCTTAGAACTGGCCACTTATAAACAATATAATAAAAAAATAATTCTAAAATTTGAAAATATAACTCTTTGCCAATATTACTGAGTATATATTTCATTCATTTGTCATTTGTTTTACGATTTGGCGGCAAATTGAAAATTGTCTGTGTCACGTCATCATGAATTTAACACGAGAAAATTTTCGTGCAATGATTTTTTATGACTTTCGATGTCATTTAAGTCAACAAGAAAGTTATGATAGACTACGATTGGCCTTTCACGATGAAGCCCCATCTCGTGCGACTGTTTACAACTGGTTTAATGAGTTTAAACGTGGTCGCACTAATCTCACTGATGATTTACGTGAGGGACGGCCTTCTACGGCGACGACTGAAGATAACATCTGTGTTGTGCGGCGTATGATAGAGACTGACAAAAGAGTGACCTATCAACAGATTCGGACAAGCTTAGGCATCGGTATGAGTCAAGTGCACAAAATCCTCCACGAACATTTAGCGGTCAGGAAGCTTTGCGCCCGGTGGATACCTCATAATTTGACTGAGGCTCAAAAACTCCATCGTGTGGATTGGTGTCGTAAAATGATTGAAAGATTTAACGGAGGTGACTCAAATGCTGTGTTCGACATACTAACAGTGACGAAAGCTGGATTTACTGTTATGATCCTAAAACCAAAAGACAATCTGCTCAGTGGGTGTTTCCTTTCGAGGAGTTGCCAACTAAAGTGAAGAGAGATCGAAGTGCGGGAAAAAAAATGGTGGCCTCGTTCTTTGGAAGGATAGGTCATTTTGCAACAATTGTGTTAGAGGATCAAAAAACAGTTTCTGCAGAATGGTACACTACCAATTGTTTGCCACTTGTCTTGGAAAAAGTTCGAGAGAAACGACCTCGCAGTAGGATCCTCCTTCACCACGACAACGCCTCGTCGCACACCGCCAAGCGAACGATCGACTATTTAGCGACATCAAACGTTGAATTACTGGGTCACCCGCCGTATAGCCCCGACCTCGCGCCTTGTGATTTTTATTTATTTCCAAAAATTAAAGAAAAACTTAAAGGAAAGCGGTTTATGAATGCTGAAGAAGCGGTGGCTGCGTATCGCGATGCCATTGAAGAGACCCCTAAGGACGAGTGGGCAAAGTGCTTTTCCCAGTGGTTCCATCGCATGCAGCGGTGTATTGACGTGAATGGACAATATTTTGAAAAGATATAATAAAACTAATAACTGGCTAATGTAATCAGTTTTGATTTTCTAAGAACTTTCAGTTTGACCCTCGTATATATTTGAGATTATGAACCCTAATTCGATAGTGACAAGAGCGTATAAATACCTCCGTATCTGTCGAGTAGCGCCATTATAACCCCGTTGGTCCAGCCAAAACCGGTCTGTAGGACGTACTCCCCACCACCTCCATAACCACCGAAGATGGTTGCGTCGTACTTTACAAGGGAATATTATATGTTATAATTCATTATTAATAGACATTCAACTAAACATAAAAGATTCGATTTTCGTCGTCCATTAATCAAATGATGTTTTCGACCAATTATATTATACCTACTTTTCCCTGGTAAGTTTTAAATGCACGTTTTTATTGTCATTATTATTGGATGGTAAAGTCCGCTTACAGAGCTATCAAATTTGATATCTCGACAGTTAAACTCGACGCAAAACTAACAAAAAACATACATTTAACAATACAGCTGCTATTACTTAGCAACCAAATCCGGTTATATTGCGATGAGAAACAGTCGAGAATCGAGACTGCTTACTCTGGACTTTCATAGGGAGTTTAGCCTCATATATAAATTTATCTTTGTATTCATAAAATTACATATTTATTTGTATTATCTTTACTAATAATATAAAGACGAAAGATTTCAATGGTCGGTTGTTTGCATTGAATAAGCTCCGAAATTATTACATCGATTTTAAAAATTCTTTCGCCTACGGGTACTATCATATGGAGTTGACATAAGCTATAATTTACGCGTGTATAGTCACGGGAAAACAGCTAGTATTTTATAATAGGCAACTAGATAAACTCAATAAGTCCTTTGTGACAATACATAAATAATTTTAATTAAATTGTAGTTGTATAAATTGTATATAAATATAATTGGATCCGACTTTTTTTAAGGAACAAACCTAAAAAAAAATATTTTTTTTTACCTTTTCTAACATAGCCGTCTTCTCCTTCCAGACTTCGAAGTTGGATCGCACCCACTTGGTGGCGATATCGTTGGCTAGTTGCATAGCGTGAGGTATGTTAGTATCAGCTAATCCGGTGACGAACATGTACTGTAGCGGCGGCCACGCGTTGGGATAGTCCCATTGCTCGCCAGAGTGTTCGAACGTTGTCGGAATACCCCCCTCAAATACATCCACCTAGACAAAACACACCCCCACAAATAAAAAAAAAGTCGTCCATGTATGAGACGGATTCACGTATAATCATATAATACTGATTTTATAAGTTTTTTTAGTATTTGTGGTTATAGCGGTAACCGAAAATTTCAACTGTCTGTCACAATTCATGAGATACAGCCTCGTGACAAACAGAGAGACAGACAAACTGATATTTTAAATCAAAGTTCAGACAATATACTAAAATTGTAGAAGTTAATACATTTTACTATGTTTTAATATTCAACTATATTTCACACACAATAAAATTGAAATGCAAATATCTCACCTTTACTTTGTCCAAGTAGTTGATGACTCTATTAACGAAATATTCTTTCCTTGCTTTATCATAACAACCGGTCCACAGTGGTGCGATATTGGATGGATAGAAGTAATCCCTGCGTCTTCCCGATTCCAGGTTGAAATCCAACCAGGCACCTACGTCTTCGTGCCATAACAACTGGTAAAAAAATCATAATTAATTATTCAATAATCTATAACATTAATTGGGATTCATTTGATACATTATATTAATGTGGATACGCCCTCTGAATTAATTTATTCATAATAAAAAAGTTAATATTGTTTACATATGCTTACAGTTCTCCTGGTATTGTGGTTACAAGTGGGTATATTTATATTTTTATCTAATCTGCGTATCAAATATTAATTTCACAGGAAATTTTATACTGAAGCTCTTGCATGCTTGTGAAATGAGTATATTAAAAGTCTTTCTATAAAAATAATCAATCTGCTTTTTTATAGTATATTTTTATTTTCTTTTATACACATTTTTAGTTGATCGTGATAAAAATATATTTCAGTTGTCCTATTCAATCAAAACGTACACTACATTTGATTGAATGTGACCACTGTTTCTTGTCACTTTCATCATAGCTCGATGGCACAGTGGTCACCCAGTCTTTCGCAAAGGACAATCACAGAATGGGTGACCAAAAATTGTTTATTTCCAGCTCTTCCTACTTCGAAAGACATGTTCTACAAAGACAGTCGTTGGTTCGATCTGCGTCTGCAATTGTTAACAGCCACCATTCCGTACTAATAGCTTAGTAGATTATAATTTTTATAATATACGTACCTTTTCAATAGCCTCCATATATCTAGCGTGTACCATCCTATAGTAATCAGCCTTCTGTCTATTGTCCAGCTTAGCGTGGAACTCGCTCATTAACTGAGCATTCCAACACATAATCGCGTTCAAGTCCACTGGCACGATAGAACGGGTCTTCAAATTGGTGAGGTTACCTAGGAATTTCAACTTTATTACAATAGCAGTTAAGATCGAAACGTATTATGCGTATACGTGAATTAATTAGGATTGTAAATTTGAAGCACACTGAAAATAAATGAATACGAAAAAATGTTACAAAACTGCCAATAATTAAAAAAATACGTATTTTACATAATCCATATCGTTAATAACAAAACCACACACAAAACAAACGCTCACAGTGAAAACAAAAAATATGAACATAACTAACTCAATGACGAGTTCGAGGCTATTTTTTAATTGAATATATTGACTAAGCTGATCTGAATCTATCACAGATTAAGGCAAAACTTATTTTAGCTATCTCTGAATGAAAAGTAGAAGTTTTATTGAAATAATATCGCTTATGGTTAGCACAATAAATGTTATAACAAAACGGAGCACACTTATGATTATCACTAAAATCTAATGTCGGCAAAACGCAAAACGCTGGACACGTCAATTATTTTTGCTTACCACCTATCTGTCTGTGGCCGGTAATTTTTTCAATATGATCGCTTACTGCTTTGTTTTTGTAAAGATTATCTGCGTGACAATCATTATTATATAAAATTTACATAAAATGAAACCTGCCAAGTGTAAGTTATACTTTTGAGTCTCGATTCGAATAAATTTTAGAGACTTATTATTTCGGTTATATAAATACGGACGGACAGGAAAGACACGCGAATGATCCTATAAGGGTTACGCTTTGTTATTTTCATGTCTTCTTCGTCTTTCCAGTTCAGGCCAGAGGTCACCATCATAACGGCGGAGACTCGCGTAGATTAAAGCCTCCCAGACAGTCAGGGACGTGCAATGACCAGTCAATTACCTGGTCTGGCCCTTTAAAGGGGAGATGCGTTATTGGGCTATCTCTCCCCCCTCTACCGCCGCACCCTCACCTAAAGCTGACACTAGCAAGAACCAACTTCAGTTCAGCTAGATCAAGGTAAAGGGAATTTCTTGTCCAAAGTATTTTGTTCAAGAGACACTTTTTCTATCTTCAGAATAAATCGCTACTGATTTGACTATTTGTCTTTATTTTAATCATTAAAATCTGCATTTGGTTTTTAGTAAAAAAAAAAATGTATGTGTGTAAAGTAGTAGGATTACAGAAGAAAAAGACTCTTTTCCTATACAAAGACTGTCCTAACTAAAGGCAAGTTCTTACTAAAATGGCACACGGCGAATCTTTATTCGGGCAGAGCTTAACGTTTCCCAAAAATTTATAACGAGCCTTATTTCAATAACAATAAAGTATTAAAATACTGTTTTACTTAATATTTTATAATGTTGTAATGGAAAGTGACTTCATATTTTAATGAAGTCATTTTTCAATGAAGTCTTAACGCTCTCTGTAGAAAATAAAACAAGGAGAAAAAAGCAGCCCTTGCTGAGAAGCTTGCCGGTTCTTCTCGGTACAAGGTCTCTCGGTAGATTTACGAACAGATGGCGTAGCTCTCGACTTTCACAGCCCAGACTGAATAATTTTTGATTTTGATAATACAACGCGTTAAGCTTCCGTGTCACGCACACTCAACGACTTCAATCATTCTAATTGGGCTACATTTTCCGCGCTTAGTTAGTTGTACTACTCGTACGAATTAACATCACACCTGAAGGCCTATTCTATTTCTAAGAAAACGAAATTTCGCCTATTTTCATAATACTAATGAGACTAAAGAAACGCTTTTTTCGATTTGTGATGAAACGGATGTAGGGCACTCATGTCAGCGATGAACAGATAATTTTCATGGATATGATTTTTGACAAAACTGTAATATTGATTCGAAATTTTCCGAATTTTCGATTGGAGACAAATAGAATATGCCCTCAGGTGTCACGTCAATTCGTATAAGCTATAGCTATCTTACTTCATGAAGAACAGGTAGCTAGTTTTAAATAAACTATAATAGTTCAAATTTAATAATAAAAAGTTATCAAAATGTATGAATTGACTTGTATCGTTATTTAAAGCCTACCTTTGTTAGTCCCGTTGAGAATAAACCATCGAGATGAGAAATCCCAGCCGGACTCAGCAGCACTTTTTAATTCAGCGTATAATTCTTCTTTCTTATCTTTAGTATCTAAATGACTGTAAAAGATAGATATATTTCAAAAAAAATGTTGAATGTTTTAGGCTAATGTAATATAATAATGTATATCCTATGTTTGAGGAAACTTAACTAGAATGTAAGTTTTCTATTTGCAGTAGTCATAATATGGATATTACTTAAATATTACCAAGATTGAAATATAAATTGTTAGTATTTAAACACTAATTTACAACTAAAATATAAGCACAGATCATTTTCTTATTTATCTTGACTCTAATTTGTATTATATTATAAATGCATTTAAAACAAATTCAAAAATTTTTTAAAAATATTGAGATTTGGTGCATTAATATTCCAGTCCATTAAAATTGGAGGACTATCTCCTAATCCATTACTGATAATAATACTTACAGAGCTACGTCGATATCTTCTTTGTAACTCTCAGGCCTCGGACCTTGTGATTGATCAATAAACCTTGTCAACTTGTATCTGAAACGAATATAAATACTTTTTTAAAGGAAGTCAGAGTGAAAATTCGTTGCTACTAGCAAAAACGTAAATTATATTTTTAGGGCGAATTTAATACAACATGATTACCATCTTACCACATGTGTTGAAATTCACATCCACATCATAAGGTTTTTTTTTTGTAAATTCGCTTTTTTACATCAGTTCATTCGGAGGTTATTGACTTTTGGTGATATACCTACAGATAATTTGCTACATATTAAAATATTTATTATTATTGTGAATTTGTATTCACAATTTTACAATATAATAGTTCCATGCAAAACTTCATTTTAGGTTTACATTTAATGCAATATTTGAATATAGCTGAGACTTAAAATTTGTCCGCACTCCGCATGCGGGCCTTATTGACCAATATATATATGGGCAATAAAGGTTGATTTCGAATATTGAATATGACTCACTTGTGCCCGTCGTGTTCCACGTCCACGGTATGATTGGTGATCCAGAAGTCGAACTCCTTGTCGAGCGTGTGGATGTGTCGCTGCAGGAAGCTCAAGTCGTCAGTGTCATCCACCACCAGCTTCATCATTGGTATCAGCAGCGGGGGCTGAGATCTGTCAAAAAACAAATAAACATCTACTTATTTTCACTGTGTGAGTTGCTAAACTACAACGTTCACTGATTACATATGACATAGAATTTGTTAAAAATAAAGAATGAATTAAAGAATAGGGATGACGGCTATTTTTTATTTGTTTGTCCGAAAAGTAGAGAGTTGAAAAATATTAAACACGTATTTATTTATTTTTTTCGTAATCATAAAATTACGATGATACAAGGAGTTGAAATTTCGCATGACGTCACGTTATGGTACGTTTTCTGTAAAACTGACGTAGCGAACCACCACTCCTCAACTTTAATGCCTGTTATCTAAACTATTTCTCGTTAAATTGAAGTAAAAAAAAAGTTTCTATTATCTGACTGACGGACTTCTATTTAGAATTACATTTCTTTTGCCCAGTCGTAATCCCTATTGTAATGGAGCGATTACACAACATACACAGAACTCTTGCCAACTTAATCTTTTTGAAGTCACTTTTTTTTAATTAACCCCTTTTAAAAGTAGCTTAATTTATTATATCTTCAAAACTACTGAAACACTTTGTGGTGTTGAAATTTGTGGTGTTTTCTAATATAATAAAAAAACTGTGCATTTGCAGACTAAGGTATCTCACCTCATGGTGTAGTATATTCTGCCTCCGTTGGGAATAAATCCGAGTTTCTCGACTATGTCCAGGAAATTGGTGACCATCCCTCGAGCAGTCTGATGCATCTCAGATAAAAGAAGACCTTTGATGATCCAATACGAGTCCCAGTAGTAAAACTCACGGAAACGACCACCTTTAATAGAAAAATAAATCTATATCCTATACTAATGCGAAAGTAGGTCTGTTTCGCTCTCACGCCTATCCACCTAAAATTGTTGACTTAAGATAGATCAAAGAACTTAAGTTGCTTTTTATTGTGATATGAAAAGGTTGAAATAGGGGCAACGCGGGCGAGGCCGTGGGCGGAAAGTTAGTATATAAGGTTTCTAATTATGTTTGTTTGTAGGAGATACTGATCCGATTATGAAAATACTTTCAGCTACGGGAAGTTGTATCATATACAGGTGACATAGGCTATAATTTATGTGGGCGAAGTAGCGGGGAAAATAGCTAGTTATCTAAGAACGTCCAATCTTAACTCAATAATATTATTTATAAAGGATTAATTTTTAAACAGGATTAACTGAATTTACCCTAAGGATATAAGTAAAATCAGAGAATAACGTATTAACTACTGCTAGCGAAAAGTATTCATATTGCCTTGGATAGATTTTATAATATTAAAGGCAAGGCAAGGCTGCTTAACTACAGACTAAATTAATATTAAATGATCCACAAGCAAAATCTAAAAATACAACCAAATAGAAAAATCCTTTTATTGCAAATGTTACTTAATTTTCGTATTCAAAGATCAACGGCTCAAACCAATCTATCAACAAGGTACTAAAGAATTCTGAACTCACCGGGAACTATGAATGGATTGTCGACGTATATGATAGAGTAGAGGTCCTGGTTCTGCTTCACGTCATCCTTCATCCTTCTGCCAAGCTGCAGCCATAATCTGTTCAGATCGGAAGCCCACTGATGCAGCAGTGGATCCGTTATCCTCTCGAGGAACTCTGTCAGGAAAAAAATTAGCTATATGTTCGGTCATCAAGTATAAGTAAAGGGAGATAGGGTGCAAGACGAGGTTAGTATGAGTCCTGATGTCGCTATAAAAATTGATGTACATGCACACGTAAGCTGTAAAACGCAATTTTTAATAACTAAGTGATATCATAGTGGATAAGCGCCGCGGCTCGTGATCGTTGTTGTTAAGCAACTCTTGCAAAGGTCGGCCACGGGATGGGTGACCAAAAAATTGTTATCTCCAGCTACTCCGTGCTTCGGAAGGCACGTTAAACCGTTGGTCCAGGCTGCATTTACAGTCGTTAATACCCTCCAATCCGCATTAGGGCTAGCGTGGAAGAGCCAAGCCCTTGCATTGAGGACGTAAAAACACAGATGATGTTGACACAAAATGTTTGGAATACTTTATGATACTTCTATTTTTGCAAAAAAATATTAACCAGCTTTGTATTTCAAAAAGTATATGTATTTTATTTTGTGCATTATTCGGCGACATCGGTGATGACCACTCGATTTCTCTATTGCTGTTTTAGATCGCTATGGTAACAACAACAAAAAGAGAGTATTCACTTAATACTCGTAGTTTATTGCAAGCTATACCATTATAAAGATTCACAAGATATTATAAGAATCAATCAACCTATGTACTCTGTCAAGCACGGCAACATTTTAAATAGAGGTCGGTTTCATATAAAAAATAAGTGTTGTGGTTCTTGAGGAGGTGTTTGTTTTGATCACTATTCATGTCATGGAGACAGTAGTTGTCTTATACAACGATAACTAACATTATAACCAGATATAACCATTATCCGGCCATAATAAATAAACACATTTCAATTTGCCGTATACTAATAACAGTATGTATACATCCTAAAAATGTTTGAAATATTTACTTGGCTCCGTCTTCCAATCAGTAGGTTTCCAATCGTCGAATTCGGAGCCCTCAGGATCGAAATACTGTTCGACAAACTCCATAATTTCCGCCTTCGTAGGCCGTGAATCTGTCCTGCAACATGATACGTTAGTTAAATATAACATTTATTTCAGTCAAGAAATACCCAAGCGCATTTTGGATAGAAATTCATTGGGAAGAACCCCAGAGTGTTTCTTAAATAATAGAAGATGCAGCTAACTTGGTAGCAGAGTAGTTCGGTGGAGTAGTGGATAAGCGCCGCGGCCCGCTCTCGTTGTTATTAACTGCTTTAGCAAGGATCGATCACGGGATGAGTGACCGAAACTTATTATCTCGAGCTACTCCGTGCTTCGGAAGACACGTTCAGCCGTTGGTCCCGGATACATTAGCACTCGTTAATACCCTCCAATTCACATTAGGCGTGGAGGGTCATAGCACATCCTCCTTAACCATCCATAAGGAAGGTCCCCTGTAGTGGGTAAAAGGGCTGATGATGAAGGTACATCTAAGAAAACCACTAATGACAACAGGTACTATAACTTAGCCAACGCAATTTAAACTTTGCTGCTACGCTGTTCTGTAATAAAGTCAAATTCGAACTCGAAGTAACTGTTTCAAGAGGTAATAAGGTTTTATTTAATTAAAACTCTATGCTCTGACAGCTCTGAAGAAACGACATTGAACTGGCAACGTTTTTACTTTAATGTCTCAATAAAAAAGGTTGTTCACTGGTCATCGTTCACTAACTGGTTAACTTACTGTTCATCGAAAATAAAAACGTATATGATTAACCTTTTAATATTAGCTCTAGTGTCAGATCAAAAAACAATACCTGTAGTGAATACAGATGTTACCTGTTCATCATCTCCTTGAAATGTCCCATTGTGATGTTCGGGGAATACTTCAGTTTCATATCCACAAAGGTTTTGGAGTCATTGTACAGGCCAGCCATCTGAACGGTGTCTAAAAGTGGTCCGTGGCAGTAGATCTCACTGAAAATAAGAAAACATTTCAACGTAAGTAATGAAAAACGCTTAAATAATTTATCATTAGAAGTAAATTGACATTAAAAGCATTGTGAATTCAATATTGCATTAATAATAATTTCTACGGTTCCGTATCCAAAGATTAAAACCGGGATCCTAACACTAAGACTCCTTTGTCCGTTTGTCAATCCGTATGTCTGTCTGTCATTTAAGCTGTATCTCATGTTTACAGCTAAGCGTTGTAATACAAAATTATTTATCGGAGTTCCCTTTCATCAACTTGATGTTTTATAGATAATAGAACCCTTCGTGAACGAATAAAAATAACAAAAAATATATTCTATGTTGTAACTGCTCAAGATTAGAATATCAAAGTCTATGAAAACCCCAAAGGCTTGTAGGTACTGATTCTATGTATTTTACCTATAAATGTTTGTAACCTGGAAAGTGAAGAGAATATCTTTAAGAGTCCGAGTATATTAACGGAAGATTCATCGTGTCTAGTACTAGCTTTCCGCCACCGACTTTGCCCGCGTGGTCCCTAAGGAACAGTTTTGGGATAGAAATTTGCCTATTCAGAATACTAAAATAACTCCAATGCAAAATTTTAAGACTTCTAGCACTTGTAGTGATAAAGTTTTATCCAAACTATCAAACCCAGAAACAACCCCTTAGGGTTCAAATTTTGCAAAATTCCGCCTTAGTCCTAAAAAGAACATCCATGCAAAATTTGAAACTTCTACACTTGTAGTTTCTGACTCGCTGATGAGTGAATTATTCCGTGAAGTGACGATCGACACTGACACAGCAGAGTGTTTTGTAAATGTCGCTGAAGTTTGTTTAACATTGAGGAAGGTTATGTAAAGTTTCCTTTCCCACAATCAGAAGTATTCTCCCATAATTGATTGTAAATTGATCGAGTCATAAAAATTATGACGCTTCAATACTAATTTTATAAATGGAGAAAGTGTTTTTTTTTTGCTTGTCCTTCTCATTACATTGATTTCATGTCATCGGGTTTTTAACGTATGATTTTATGTGAAAAATTACATATTAAATGATTTGGACAAACAAATAAGGGGTTCTAGTAACTTAGTTAGTAGAAAGGGTTACGAACTCTTACGCTAATAAGTTTATCATTATCAACTTATTAATTACCACACTACAATAGGTGCACGAAAAACAGAGAGAGGTAGCTATTTCTACCAAAAAAATTCCTCTCCAATATATTTGATTCGAAAACGTTTCAAAATCAAAGATGCTAGTTCATAACGAAGTACAAAGAAATCGATCTACAATAAAGGCAATTGCCCGAGTTTCACTTCACGTTTCAGCAAGCGTTGTGGATAATGTGGCTGATAATAATATAAGGCAATAATAAAATGGCCGCGTTCAATGACGTTATGTTATTTTTATTATGTTTATCTCGTTCTCGGAGGTAGTACAGGGAGATAAATATTTTTGATTTCTTCGCGCCCTTTGTGGTTGTATTATAATGTTACGCTACCACAAAAAGTTTACGCTGTTTTAAAACGCAATAATGTACGGGTATGACGTGTCTACTATTAAAACGTCATTGTCTTCAATGTAGAACTATTCTATTATGCGGTAATATGATTTTAACATTTTAAATTGAGAAGATCAAATATTAGCAGTAGTGTGTCATCGAATGTTTGTCTTTCCAATGAATATTATGGCCAGACATGGATGAGACTGAACGGTGACGTAACCAGTATGGACCGGTAGGAACCGGTTCCATAAAAGTCATGAAATGTGAACTCTACAAATCGCCCACAATCGAATCTAACGAACGTCTGCACAAATTCTATTGTAGCGACAAACGACTATATGATGTCTTTGACTAATGAACTTTTGCTTGATTATAAATAATTATCTAGTAACAATAAAATTAATTATTAATGTTCGCCTGATTCCAATTTTTAAAAAGCTTTAAACGTAAATCTGAAGTTATGTTAAAGAAGTTAAACGTTAAACCACAAGACCTTCTACATTTTCTACAAACCTCTTTTGGAAACTATCAAAATTTAAGCTACTTGAGACATTTTAACTACAAAATGCATGATCATAATGTAAGTACTTTGGATACCTAGTTCTCTCAAGAATGTTTTAATTAACGACTGAGATCCAACTGCCGTTTCGAATAATTCGCTGTCAACTTTTTCGTGTTTTAACTACGTCTTGCCTGGACGACTTCTATATCACAAATTTTTGTCTACTCTCAGCATTGTGTAATATTGTCCAAGATAAGCTGCCGACGATTGCTGCGCAGTTTTACAGACGAATGATAAGATAAACAGGACTGTGAACATGGATTGAAACAAAAAATTATCTTAGAGATCTAATTTTAAACGTTATTATTGGTCAAGTGCAAGGTTCACTATTTGAAACAAAAAGCAATATAATCGGGTATTGTGAAGAAAATTCCAGAATATACAGAAATCACAGTCATAGTTTTGGGTCAGGTCAATATGATTTACTTCTCATTATGAGTTATAATAAGAACGGTATCGGAAAATAAGACAGTCAGACTGTCACTAATTCATAAACATTTTTATTACAATAAACAATGCTATATTATTTGTAATATTTAAGTAAGTTTTATCAGGGGAAATAAAATTACTAAGACTATCGGAAAACAAAGTTGACTTAAACCATCATAATACGCAGTACGCAGAAATCTTTAATGGTATGAAGATGTAGATGAAAACACCAATAATCATAGACAAACAAGTAGATTCTGCAGAATGTTTAATCGAAAAGGCGGAGGTTATATGTTTGACGCCAATTTATGTTTTTTGTGTATATTTAACGACATTTTCTTCAATTGTTGATCGATTTTCAAAATTCTTTTTTTCGATAGCTTGATGGATCGAGATGGTTCCATTTAAATTTTATCGAAATCGAATATGTAGTTTTCCTTTTACAACAAAACAAAATACGCTCTCCAACAGACATCACCTAAATATTAAGATGATATGTTATGGCATGCGTTTTAGCTACAAAACAAAAGATTTCTCTAGCTGTTTCCCCGCGACTTCGCATGTGTAAATTATAGCCTATGTTCGCCGCGTATTATGTAGTTTCCCGTAGATGAAAGACTTTTGTAAATCGGTCCAATAGTTTCGGGCCTATACATATATTGCAAACAACAAGCAATCAAATCTTTACTCGTTAAAATATGAATATAGGTTATTGGAAAAAAATATATTTGGCAAAATTAATCTCTTTTTTAAATTTTGTAGTCAGTTCAACTTTTTATAAAAAGTTTTTATTGTATATTTCTTTCTCTCTATCTTTCAAGACAAAGATGGTATTAAAAGACAAGGGAGTGAATATCTAGAAAATGATAGAACAGGTAAAATATAGGATATCAATATACAGTAATATATATGTAGTTAGGTGTCTATTCTCAACCACAGAGGACACTTCCTGTTACGAATCTACAATCACTTCCACTATCTGTAACAACACATTTAAACAGTTTTATCACTCCTATCATTAGCGCAATAAAGTTCAAAATAGGTGAGTAATACTGACTGCATTCACTATTGTTATAATTATTTTACAGAGCATTTTGAATCTTAATCACTAAACCGTAAAGTACGAGGTTGATTTACATTAAAGGTGCTAACTGTTACCTTCCAGGGATTTTTCTATGAAATAAGTTAAAATCCATTGTAAACGAGTTACTTTTTATAATCTTAATTAATACCATGATAGCTGTTTGTAGACGAATTAAAATTGTACAATCTGTGAAATAAAAACACTAACAAACATTTATTTTAAACAATGGAAGTAATTGGTTTATAGAAATATGAAACTCTGAGATGGCTACATGAAAATTGAAACGCTAATTAGTAGTAGTGCAAAGATTAGCAAACTACTACACTGTAAACAGTAACACTTCTTGAGCCTTCCGTTAAGTTTTTATCATCAGAAGGTTGAAGATTCATAGAGTATGTTTAAGCTTTGAGCAGGAACAAGTGAGGCTTAAATAAATATTAATAAAGAAATTATTAAACAACATTCAGAGTAACTTTAAGTCACTCCAAACACAACATCTTGGAACATTTCCATATCATTGACACCATATTCAGACTTCTTTTACCTCTTTTTACTAACTCATATTAAAAACATGATAAAACGATATGCGAAATGCAAGAAAGGGGGATTGTGGCGAAGATACTATGCAGGCAAATAGAACGACTTGAGTCTTGCTACAATTCTTGCACTATTCAGTGATAAAACTTACCTTTCACAAGTGGGAGGTAGATTACTGCGATCAGCACCAACGGAAACCGCCATCAGAACTCCAATCAAACACCACATCTCCATTATTATAGCAGACAAATTGTTGACACAAAAATAAATCCACACAATAATTATCCTTTAACCTAATGGCACTAGAACTTAAATTAATATCACTCGGTTGAATAAAAGGAACTCTTAATCTTTAATATCACTGAGAACGCTTCTTGTCTTTTCGTTTATAATTGTCTATGATCGTTACGTATTCAGGTATGTGTTCGAGTTTTTTAACGGTTTCCTTCTGAACGGCTGGATCATTTTGGGTAGAATGGCTACGGTGGTGGAGATATCACAGAAAGGCACTTTCCGTGCCAACCAACATTCTGAAACAATAATAAAATAATATTAGTTGAAGCAGTAGTTATTACAGTATTCGATTACCATATAGATCTTATTTTAAAGGTTATAAATAACGTTCATCACATTGTAACTGGCAATATAGCGACTGTGTAAGTAGTTCTAGAGATTTTAAATTAAAAATTTATGATTAGCGAGCGTATCTCATTTATGTTTTTACGATAGTGTTTTTATGACTTGTTGTTTTTCTTAGAATAAAGATGTGTCACTTAATCATTTAGGCCTGTATTCACAATCTCACGACAATGTCGACAAAGTGATATAAAAATAATACTTGCTTATATCACACGCCTATTTTTTGCTTTAAACAAATTTAAAGCAAAACCTTCAGATTTACGGTGGTTTAATCAGCCGTTAAAAATACAACAACGAAAGTAGAAATGGGTTTCTATGATCAGGTTGATGCAAAACGGACTTTCTTCAAATGATTTAAAATATAATCTCTAATACTATAATAGAACCAAGCAGTTCAGTATTTAGGGTATCTAAGTGAGTTAACTGATTAAAAAGTAATCCATTCTATCAAAAATCCTAGAAACGTTTATTACAAAAGCACAAAAAAGTAATAATTCCTCAAAAGTGCGAGTCAGACTCGTGCACGAAGAGTTCCGTGCCAAAAACGAGCAAAAAAAAAATCACATTTGTTGTATAGGAGCCCCCTTAAACATTTATTTTATTCTTCTTTTTAGTATTCCTTTTTAGAGCGGCAACAGAAATATCTCATCTATGAAAATCTCACTGTGTAACTTTCACAGTTCATGACACACACACAGCACAGCCTAGTGACAGAGATATAGACATACAGCGAAGTCTTAGTAATAGGGTTCCCATTTCACACTTTGATTACGGAACCCTAAAAAGAAGTAATGTCATATGAATCTTGGATATAACATTCAGAAAGAACAAAGCTTTTGTTTGTATAAAAGCTTTGTTCTTTCTGAATGTTATATCCAAGATTCATAGATAATGATTCTTAGATATAACATTCGTTTTGGCTCAAAGAATACGCAAGTAAAATGTTTTAGTAATTACGTGAGCTGCGACCTGATTTTGTCATTTGAACTATTTTTAGAAATACTAAATTAGCATATTTTAGTCAATAATGAAGATAATATTGTACATTGTTGAATTAATATTACAAATGATATAAAAATATATATCATTCAGGAATTACAATAGATACTTGAATAACTATTCAAATAAAATGCCGAGAATTTTTTCTTCTTCAATATTGATCTTATTATTACTTTTCTAATATAAATTATATTCTACGGAAGTTAAATGATGTCAAAGCTAGGCTTAGTTCAAGATCAAGATACTAATAATTTTGTGGAGCCTACAAATAAATAAGCCTACAATAAGAGTAGAAACCTTTGACAGTCATATTGTATAAAAATATAACTGTTAGAAAAGAGAGTAAGTAAACGTATTGTATTCTAATGTTTGTGGCAAAACACTGAAGGGAAAATGTTTCCACTTTGGTATAAAATTGAGCATAGCGACTAATATAGATAAAAAACAAACAGGTTCAAATTTATCGTTCCCACGCGAATGCGCCTTCAATTGTCCAATTTTCTAAATTGTAACTGACGTTTAGTGCGAAAATGAACAGGATGCCAGGATGCGCGAATGGGATGAGATGACGCCTGACAAAACACCCACGCCTACGCCATATATTCAAGAAAATATTGGACAAAATTAGGGCTTTGTACTTCTTGTGTTGGCAGTGGAAATGTTGTTCATTCAACGGTTTATTGTTCAACAAATGAAACTAAAGCGGTGTTTATAACACAAATATTAAAGTCAAGCTTGGTGAAAAAAGAAATATTAAAATCGTATATTAACAACTTTGACTTGATTGAAGATAAACATCACTCAAAATTAGATCGTATTGACATTTTTGAGATTGTGTTTGTTATGAAACCTATTTATAACTCTACTTCAGTACTTTTGTCACCGTGCCATTCAACTTTGACATCTATCAGTTGAGCAGAGGGTATAGCAAAAATTGATTACATACACGGAACTGCTAACTGTCCACATCCGTAGTTTGATTCACTAGCAACCATTTGATTCACTGTATCAATTGGAAGATTACCTTCATCCAACCTTGGGTAGGCCAGTTAACAAATCCGAAATGAGTCTAGAATTATCTGAATATCTAAATAAGGAATTGATCTAAGAGCACAGTAAGAAGTATTCCTGTATTGATAAAGTAAACTTGAGTTTTAAAGTCATCGCTGAGAAGAAGAAATTGTCAAGTCATTCTTTTGATTTCTTTACTTACTAATAAGAAAAGGACAGGAGATAAAAACGAGTACCTTTCATTTAGCTTCATATTTGATATCGTTCAGACGTTCCTTTTTTCGTTCTTCATATTCTTTCTATGTAAGTTACATCATTACTTTAATTTACATCATTACCAACCGACGACTTTTCAGTGGTGTTGAAATATTTACGACGTCAACAAAAAATGTTGTTGAAACTGGTACTTAGGAAAATGACGATAGAACAAAATTATTAACACTTTCAATTGCAAATGGTTTAGTTATGAAAGCTATTGAAAAGTAATGTATTAAAATAATAATTACAACTCAGATACTAGGTGACACTAGATTAACTTGACTGCGGTGGAGATGGCAGTTTTGTAGGATTTTTTAATATATCTACATCATGATCATTGAATCGATATTAGAAAAGCTTATTTATACAACAGGTCATTGACAAAAACTACAATTCTCATTTTACCTGCCAAATATTTAAAGGGTGGATCTATTATTAAGCAAATAACGTCAGCAGTAGGGGTGTGAGCGAGTGGTGTGATATTTAGAAAGTCTTTGGGCACGTGCGTTTGCGCACGCACGTAACTCGTGACGGATGAGTCGTGGGCGGGAACGTCAAGTGATGCAACTGCAACTATTGTTTGTAGAGCATTGTAATAATGAGGTATTTTATTTTCCTTCTTGATACTTTTAAACTATGCTATAACGATATTTTCTGGAAATTGGTCTTCTTTTTATTTTAGTTTGCCATGTTTCGAATTTTAATTCATATTTATGAAATAGCAATATATTCTTTTTTCAATTTCCCATACTTAAGTATTATAATTTTCTTATCCATTCCATCTCGTCGGTATTTATTCACCTCTTCTTATTGCAGAGTGTATCAAAATGTTATTAATAATCTATGAAGAATATGAATGAAACTGAGCAATCCATGCACGGCTGGGTCATTGGCAAAGTTTCCACTAGGGACAGCCCGTTCAGGATTGTAAAACGATAATAATATTTGGCATAGCTTTTTGGCACGCTATGAAATTCTTTATCGGCAGATAAAATTCAGACAATTATTTTTAAAATTTTGTGTAATTTTATTTACATGTATAAGACCTATAGTGGTTTGGACGACATTATTTCCGATTCAAAGTGCTTCATCAGAACAACATGTAGGAAAAATGACACGACGTTTTAGATGTAAAAATTACCCACATAAAATGAGTAATTTATTGTAATCTTGGCATAGATATTCTGTACAAAAATGCGAGATTCTTTCTATGAAATATTTCATAAAAATTAGTCGAATTTTTACATATTCTTACTTTGCACAAAGCGTGCAGATTACAATCATTTTAGGGTTCCGTACTCAAAGGGTGAAAAACTGGACCGGGTCCGTCTGTTACCAGACTGAATCTCACGAACTGTGATAGTTAGACAGTTGAAATTTTCACAGATAATATATATTTCTGTTGCCGTTATAACAACATATTACAATAAAAACATATTTAGGGAGGCTCATAATTATACAAAAAAAAGTGATTTTTTTTTGCTCGGTTCCGTTACGGAACGCTTCTGGTCCTGGCTAGGCTGCCTGATAAAATCCGCCATAGAATAACCTCATTAGGGGAGCTAGGATCTGATATTATAGGAATATGACTACACATAAAGTAATTTCCTATATTTTGGTGGTACGTTGCCGATATTAACTATACTGCATTTTTAGTCACCAAAACAAAAATAGCACTTAGCAGAGAGAGATAATAAAGCAGACCTTTGAATTAAATATATCTAATGCAGGGCGAGCACACAAAGGGAATATCAAGGTTAAAGAGCACTGGACCTAGCGTATGACCTTGTGGAACACTTTCACTATGATGTGAGGCTAGATTTGCAATATTTTTCTGATCGTTCGTTTCAAGGTCATCATTTGACATTTTAATTGCTGGTAGATTGAATTAAAATGTTAAGCCTACACAAATTGAATTTAATTTAGTGATAACGGTTGGAATTGTAACTTTTATATAGACAGGCAAAAGCTAATTTACATTCATTATTGAGAAATGAATGTAAATTAGCTTTTGCCTGTTTAACAGACTTCAAATCAAACCACAAATAAAATCTTAATTTATTTCAGATTTACAACGCTGCTTTAATATATGAACTTGCGTTACTTGACATGGTCTAGTAATAAAAAGAGATGATCTCAATGTATCAAAAAATAAAAGCCGTAGAATTAATTTTGGTACTTTCTTTCTCTCAACATTGCATTTTGAAGCCAAATACAAAGAACAATTTAAGAAAAAAGAATAAGCTATTAGTGAAATCATTCCATTGACATTGGATATTCTAATCAAGAAGTTCAATAACATCTAAAGGGGATTTCAGTTCATTGACTGGATGGCGCCATTACTTTAATAGAAGGATGAAACATTTGGGGCTTTATATTTGGCAATTTAAATATGTTTTATTAAATAACCTATATATCAGCATACTGTGTATATTCTTTCTTTATTTCTTAAACTACGAGTACATAACAGATTTAATGCGGTTTCATCAATACATAGAGTGATTCAAGAGGAAGTTTTAGTAACTACAGAAAGCTAGTAACGACTAAAGTATAAGTTCAAGAATATACCTATTACTTCAGTAGATAATTTAAATAATAATAAATCGAATAACGCTTTTATCGTGACTTTGATAGAATAAAACGAAAACATAATAAAAAGAAGTTATTTTTTTCAAAGACATTTACGTTAAAATATATAAGCATTGCAATATTATATATTTGTTGCTATGTAGATAAGGAGCATATTTAGGTGTATTTGATCGAAACGTTATCGATTTATCAAATTGTGACAGTATTGCATAAAAATCTATAACGATAAAATATTCAAATCCACATCTAGACAAAGAAAAGGATAAAAAAATAACAGACGCACAAACTTAAACAGTAACTTATTACAAAAATTAAAACAATTTTGTAAATTCCAAAGAAAACTTGTGTACTTGAACCAAGCGTGCTTTATATCATGCTCCAATAAATTATTCCAATAAACTTGTAAAATCTATAGAAAACATTATATAACCTGGACAAAGTGTGGGCAGTATTCATGGAATTAGAGCAAATCGGAGCCGTGTTCCGACCATGTTTGTCACATACGTTTGAACGAAGGAATTCTTTTTAAATTAAGTGACTTCTCGAATGGTCTCAAATTAATTTATACACTGTCGTTTAAATGCATATCACTGCAATAAATATAGAAAACTATTTTAGATTTAAAATGGAAGCAAAATTAACACTGGTATTAGTATTCTGATTATTATTTATGTATATCGATATCGTGTAATGGGTAGGTATATCCTTCCCACTCACATAATTGAAAATGTTTGGAGCGAAATGTGCAACCAAATAAAATGTTTAAAGCAACAATGTCACAGCATGCCCAAATAATATTCCGATCAGTAGTAGCAAAAGTGATTTTCCACTAGAAGAGATCGCGTCATTGCATGAATTTATGTGACAATGAACTCGAATTATATGAAGATCAAGGTTACATAACTGATCTATGTGTTTATAACGATTTTGAGCTTTTAACATGGCAACAAGCACATTGTTATATCTTAATTCGATAGTTGTGTATCAGTATTAGTATCAGCATCAGTAGTAGTGAATCAGATTATGATGACTAATCATTTCTTAAACATAATTTCTATTCTTTGAGTTAGTATGAAAACAAAGGACTTGTAACTTCTGCGATTCACGTTCTTTTTTCATTCCAATATTTGCTAAAACAATGCAAATATATACAAAGAGATGTTATGCAAATGAATTTTTGTACATGCCAAACTTCTTATACTTGCGTCAAGATTATGTAGGTATCGAAAGCTGACGTAAATCTGTCAGACAGGATTTACACTGTGTATAGACATCGTCTGTTGAAGATTATAGCAATTTACTAACGCGAAAAAATCCTCAGTAACAGAGGATCTTTTGGTGACTGTTTATTTCCTTTACATGCGTTAGGCTTAGGAGAAACTAGTATATTCTAATAATTTAGGTGTACTGAAAGGTAGTATCTTAGGGCCACCAGTGTTTAATGTTACAAAATACATAACGTGAACAAATAATCTCAATAATATTTTATTGAATTGTAATACCCAATCGCATAGATTGACAAAAATGAAGCCTGAGAAAATTATGTGTGTGGAAATGCAATTTGTTGCAAAAGAAAAAAATCTAATACATAAGTAAACATATGCATTGTCGTTAGGCGAGTGATAAGCTGCATCACGTTACTTTAATTGAAGGCTGCACGTGCAATTCACATCGCGATGCATGAAAGAATTATATCTAATCGAGGAATAGATAAAAAAAACTCTGAGGGTTTTTAGGATATATGAATGAATCCCATCGTTAAAAATATTAATTTAAATTTCGATTTATCTTATTTACTTCTTTTTCAATAAAGTTTCTGTATTTAAATGTACGAAATGTATAATTTATATTAGTAGATATTAAACGAGTGCCGATATTTGAAAGGCTTGATAAAAAATACAAAAGGCGACCTTGCGATTAATGCATTATTAAAACTAGTTGAATCAAAAATATAAACGTATTTTGAAGTTGTTACCAAAGACGTAACTATTAATCGTAACTAATAATAAAAACTTAATAGCGATAACATCTTGCAACAGCGCATTATTGAGTTTCGTTCGTCATTTATTTAAATATTTCTACAATGGTTCTAGCTCAACATTCTAGCTTCATGTTGCTATGCAAACAACAGCTGTGTTCTCAGAAAACATTACGCTTCAAGATTCTGCATGACAATAAAAAAAGTAGCTTTCATTGAATATTTGACTTTCATGAACGTATAGATAAATTTCACAACCCGATTAAATAGTGTCGTTAGTTACAAACATGGTTGCAAATTATTTCTTTCATATTCTGTACATCATTGGAATTCGTATGTTACATAAAAGTGATGAAGTAGATGTGTAATATAATCATAGTTAAAATAATACAATAGCAACAGACGGATGTGAATACAATATGTGACGTGACGAAACGTTAAAAATTCAATGAAATAAATGTGTCTCTTGGTACGAAGGCAAATTAAATAATACCGTGAAACTTTTGAGGTTGACTCTGTTATACAGAACAGTTTTAAAGCTTTCAAATTCAAGGGTAACGCAGGGATTGTTGCCAATTCGTTTATTTCTGGACTAGAACGAAACGCTTCAAGATCACGGTGAAACAGGAGCGGACGTTCGACTACATCCACTTACCGAGAAATGTGATCGGTTAGCAAAACACTACACAGTCGCACCACAGTGTGCTATTTCCTTGACGATATCGCTGTAAACTTCGCGCGGTTTCGAACGGATAGACGCGTCAGTGTCGTCTCGCGGTCCGGTATCAACTGACAGCCGCTTTGAATCGTATGCAGGTGTTGGTGAGTGACGTACTTCGTGTTTATGTATGCGATCAATCAACAAGACTAGCGGCAATAGCAGCACTTTGATTTGCTATAAAGTACTGGCAGTGTAGGTCCATTACGCAGAGACTGATTTACTTCAAAATTTGACGTAAAATTTAGGTAATAAAACTATACCAAAAAAAGCAAAGCAATTGGGAAATCATAATTTGACTACCAAAATAAATGCACTTACAATTAAAAAATGCATTATGGCCTGATAATAATATACCTGATTTATTGCACATTTAGTAATTCTGTTGAATATACAAAATAAAATAAAACTTTCTTTTACTTCTAATACTTAAAAAGATTTTATTGATTCTTATTGTTTTTATTAAACTAAAGTATGCAAAAAAAACTATTTTAAGAAACCCTGTGACTATATTTTGAAAGCATCGTCGTAGCAGTAACAACAGGGATATATAATTAAAACCAACTCGCAGAAAATGCAATTTTGTGCGATTTGTTGTGACATTTCCAAACACTGATTGTGCGTACAGCTATAATTCACTATTAAGCTCGTTAAATTAATTCATAAATAATGATAATATTTATGGTAAGAGATAAATCAACTACTATACTGAATAAAAATTAGAACAAAATATGTCAATCAGATATTTTAGATGCACATAATGCATCTAGGTTACTCAAAATAGCAAACATCACGAAACCGACAACATAGCAAAAATGTTAACACGAAAAAATCGTAGTGTAAAATGCTAGACTATAGTCTTCGTTCCAAGTAGATTCATATTTGTTAGAAAACATTTTTGGGTTACATTATATCAATTCAATCAACTTTGATTTATATAATTATTACCAAGAAAACTAATTCTTACCAAGAAAAATCAAAACGATATAATGATACGATTACACAAAATCTTTGCTTCAAGTTATAACAGTTGTTATTTCAACTAAAAATAATGTATAATTGATCACAAATTTTATAACCAATGAAAATGATCCTGATATAGTATTCATATGACATTTAATCGATGATTATCTTAGGTAAATCTTAAAAATGAATGAATTAAGCCAATTTAATACTAGAATAAGCAATCTGTAAGGTAGACATTATAGACTTAGATAGAGAAGAAACAAAAAGAACCATCTCGTAAGAGGAGCAAATATAGCATATTATACTTTCTGGAAGTCGTAATGTTAGAATAAACTATAGATGCGAGTATATATTGAGTATAAAAGATCACATTTAGAATGAAGAAAATGGAAAATTTATTTAAGATCGAAACAATTACCCTTCCTACAGCTAGATAGAAATCTAATTCTACTTGAATTTATGTAATCGAAATCGAGTCTCTAGAATCCTAAAGTCACGTATGATTACAACATTCATATTACGTCTGATTACAAAAGTTTTATCAGCGTTTGTGATGCACAAATGAGATCAACGATGGATTTTAAAATTTTTGCAATGATATATAACTGAAGTATATAGGTATTTTAATATATTCTAAGAATCATGACTCTTAGATATTTATTACGATTTTGGCTGTGACCCAAGAGTCTCGGGTCAGAGACCTGCAATAGGTTATTACGGTAATGGAACAATATTTGGCACACAATTTGCCCCAAAATGACCTACTAAGTAATGAGAGGTAGACTGCGACGTTTATATAGGATTGTTTAACTTTAAGATTGCTCTAATAATAATGAGATGACTTTGATAATATTATGAGTCAATGACTGAATTAAATGGTGTATTGATCTTTTTTACTTGTAGCCTCTAAAAGGGACTTAATACAATTTTGAAATTATTCAAATAAATAATACAAAATTTCTCTGCCAAAATTAAATGGAGAAACTCTGAGCGTTAAAACCTTAAAAAGCTAGGTCAATACGTATCGTTCTTTCGATCGAAGTTCTTTCAAGCTCTATTAATTCATCCGACGACTCAAGAGTCAAAAACATTATGAAATTAACAAGAGTGCAAGATATTTAACTACGGAAATTATTAATGACGGAATCAAAATCATTCAGATTTTTAATTTATCAATCCCATAATTACTCAAGTAAATAAGGTCATGTTTTAAGTATATTATTTTTTTTCAAAGAATTGATTCTTTAATAGAACTCATGAAAGCGTTCTGGTTATCTGATGATGGAAAGTGATAAATTTGCATGATATATCATGATTATATAAGACGAAATGAGACAGAATAATACTGAAAAAATATTAGTATAGTTTATGGAAAAAATTGTGACATTTGAGCTAATCACCCAATTAGAGTTAAAATGGATGTTACTTTTATCAAATAAGTGAAACAGCACTAGGCCTGGATTAGCCACGTCGCAAAAGTAGTAAATGCTACGGGCCCCGCGCGTTTGAGGGTGTCACGCAGTTGGAGCCTTGGTATGGTTCAGAGCCAATAAATTATTTTTTCAAGTGAGTGTTAAAAAAGCAAGAAATAAAATAAGTCACGCTTCCAAAACTGAGCAGTAATCCTTGCAAACTAATCTTAAGAACTCGACAAGTGTTTCTCCATACTTATAAATTCAAAAGCACCTCCACTAGATGGCGACTCTAGTTGATTTTGACAAAAGTTGATTTTTGCAGGAATCGAAAGAACCAAAGACAGTAATTTCCGTTCTTTTAGCAAACATATTAAAAAAATGAAATTTGAAAAGTTCGAACCTTAGATATCAATACAAATAAGAAAAAGTACAAATAGAATATGAGTGGTTTATTGAGTTTTGAAAACTAATTTACTTTTAAACATGAAAGAAAACCGGAAGGGTTATCATGGAGACATCAAGAACGTACCGTAGCGACATCTTGTTTCATTTCGGGAACTAATGTTTTTTCCGTCTCGTCTCGCACACTTCTAACTATTCCTTATATTTTCGCAACTACATATGACGACTGCACCAAACTCTGGCAGAAATTAGTTTACTACAAACAGTTAAAAAGGGTAAAGTTTTAGACCATTTCCAGATAGGACGAATCAGTCGCGAATCAAAACACGATTAAAATCAATGTTGAAATTTTTTTATCTATTTGGTACGCAAATAATCTTAATCAGCGTATAAATAGACGTGTCTAATCCGGGCGTAGTTCTGGACAGGGTCTTAGGTATAAAACAGCACATCCGCAGTATCCATAACGTATATATACACAGCACTACACAGTTAAGTGAACTAATTTTTTCTACTGTAAATTCTCGGATACGAATCCCTTGCGGAATAGGCAAAGAACTTTGATAGTTCATGCTTTGAGTGGGTAGGTATTAGATCCGTTTGACAAACTGCAGGATTGCTAATGAAACTTAATAATAAATTATACAAAAAAGTATAAGCTATTAGGTATAAAAATTGTTGATTTGAGAACCCTCTTCCTTGAGAAGTCTGTCAAAAACAAGAGAAAAACCTTACTAATGCCAATCCAAATATAAATACAGAAATTAACAACAGATTTCCTTTTTAAAATGAAGTTTCAAATGTGGTTGTATTTACCCCTGCTTCATTTTATGGTAAATGTAAGGGCAATTCAAACCTTCACTTCTGGATTTGCGTTATATTTATTGAACTAGCTTCTCAATTTGCATGTTCACCCTCACATAATAACTTTGTGTGGGCTAAGGCTCAAACGATTATAACACGATGTCAAATTGCCTTCAACCTACCTCTAAAAACGAACTATGAATTGCAATGATTTTCGGTAGGTTTTATTGTTGCCATGACTTGAACCACGATCAAGACACCTATACATTGTCAAATATAAGTAGAACCACAGATACACGTGTGCAAACACGAGACATACTCGTTGCAGTTCAAGCACAAGTAACTATAAAACTGAGTAGTACACAATAAAGCGATAAACATCTTCAATGATTTGCATCGCATATTAGTTTATACAACTAAATTGGTAAAGATACGCAAAATTGGTATACATAAAGGAAATGGGAAAAGAAACCGGCAAATAGAAACTAGAAAAAAATCACGTGCAGAATTAATGGTCCACTGTTACCAAGGCAGTTCAGTGCCAAATTTTTTCAGTGCATCATGTGAATGTCTCAGTGAATCTTAGTGATAAAATTGGATTTTATGATCACAAAAAAATATTGTAATATGCGTTGACTAGTATGTGGTGGTGGAACAGATTGCTGGTTCAAGATACTCGTATCGCTATTAGTGATAGCCATCTTGTCATATCACAGCCATTTTGTTTTAACATTAAAATTTTGTGATTTCTCTACATAATACAAACTAAAGTCACTCTCCGTATCTGCTATTACTTTTGGTAATCTGTAACTTTTAACGGTTAGATTTCGGTGCGGGTTTTCATTGTCAAATAGTTATTTCTTGAGAAACATTTATACGTCTGAGAAGCCAAACCAAGAATCATACCGTCCCTGGAAGTACATTAGTTAAATTGATATGGTTTTTATAAAGTTTTCCAAACAAGTACGCAGTTAGGAGGACACAGACGTTGGTGACATTACACCATTTAAGAGACATTAAAACGAATAACAGAGTGACGAGAACGGCCTGTCTAATTGTCTTAAACACGAGACTATAGTGACAATTTATAGACAATGACATCATCGCCAATAAAAAGAGGCTGCGGTTTCGCATGTTGACCACTTAACCTTTGTAACATTACGTTAATTTCGTACGTCCATACTTCAATAACAGTTACTGTCGCAGTAGAGTAGATTGCAAGTATACAAATATGTATTATAGAACATAACATACACTGCTTAGATTTTAAAGTACGTAGCTAAAGCTATTGCATTATGGAAATCTGAAGTAACGAAACAAATTATCAGAGACAACAAACAAAACTTAATTGTCTATAATGATCTTACCGGAATAAAACACCGGATTTTAGAGACCATGACTCGTGCCACAGAAGTTTGATTTTCTAATTTGATTAAAATATATTGAAATATATATTTTAAGCTCGTCCATTACTATT